TTTTTTCTGTTGGTATTATTAGACTTTTTTGCAAATTATGTTGGGTTTACCATGAATCCATTATTTGTAGTTCAGATTGAATTTAATTTGAATCCTACAAATTATGGCTTTTATTATGGAAGTGGTTTGCCTTTGATGTTTTTAATCCTTTCCCAGCATTGGTTTTTAATGCAGCAAATGCGAAGCAGTAATGCAATGCTTTGTTACATGGAGAAAAGCAAATAGACAGCGAAAAGCCAGAAGGCAAGCAAATGTGACGTGCTCAATGGATTAGGCGGAAAAACGTGGTGCGCGCCTTCATGACGTCGTCAGGGAGTTTGTCAGTCGATTGGACTTTGAGCGGTGTAATTGAATTATTGGGACATCGTTTTCCGACTTGCCGAGGTTGGTAGCGGGTTGTCAAATTGTGATTTATGATGACTCAAAAAAGATTTATTGTAAAATTTCGAAGAAAGTGATACTTACGTGTAAGGTGACAGGCAATAATCACAACCCATCGTTGGTAAAGCCGTAGGCAGACTCCAATAGCCCCCTTTGTCCGGACAGGCTTTGCCAGTGCAGTGGCTGGCACGAATTTGGCGACAGGATCTGGAATTAGTACGCTTTAAAAACCTAGCGGATATTCCCACGCTTGCGCTAGGACATATGTAGTCCTTGGGGGATTAGTTAGTCGGTGCCAGCTGTGATAAATCAATTAAGCATTAGCCTGGCTGTGTAGATTGCTACGTAGGTTAATGTCTTTGCACTAAAAAATTCAAATGATTTTGAACGGAAATCGTCAGCGCGGCGCATTCCTAAAGATCTGGTCATATGGCTAGTATTCGTCTTACGCATGTCATCGAACCCAAGTGGTTGGAATTTCTGGACCTCTATGTCCTTTCTACCCTCTTCTATCCCTTATTTGGTCCCGGTATGAGGTAGGACAGCAATTGGGAGAAAAGTGAATTGTGAATATAGATAATATTGTTTCAAAAGCTTCAAATAGTTTGATTCTACGGATTGCGCTAATTTTGAAGGAAGCCCTGCAGTATTTGAGAGAAACGCCAGGTTCAAACATTTGGCTCATGGATTGACCGATCGGTCAAGGTCCGAAGCCAACATCTGGGGGGATTATGACGTGAACGCCTCCCAGTCCGGATCTCCATTTCCCGTGGAATCTGGTGGATTTTTTCGAAATCAGTAGTGAAACTGACCTGTGGCAAAGCGCGTGTGCGCTTTTCGAATGAAGACAAATATCATTTGACTCCAAGCCCGATAGGAGAAATAGGTGTCATGGGTGTTCCGTAAAGGTTTCACGAGGATTGCCAAGGCATCTTCATGAAATGTTCTGGAAAATGTTGAATATTTAGAAAAATGCTGTTCGTCAGAATTATGAGAAAGTAAAATTGTGTGTTGATAGTTTGAAAGTTTAGTTTCTTCTTTTTACTCTTTCTTTTTTTAAATTTAATTTCCTATGTTTATCTCTTTCACTCTTTTTTGTGCATTGGTTAGTTAACTTACACATTTACCTGCAACCTGTGATTTACAATCTGCGTAGAAATGGGCATATATGGAAGGAGAAAATGTTGCAAATATATCTATTTTGACCTATTTTTGTTTGTCAACTGCTGTTTTTACCGTTGGCCTTGCGAATGTTTCACAAGGATGCTGGGTTGTGACATAAACTTTCGCCCGAAGGTACTCGAACCCGCCTCTGGCTTACCGAACGCACCTATTACACAGTGTTTATTCACACCCAGCATTCTTTGGTCTATCTATTTGTTTATTTATTTAGTATTTGCTCAAAAGGTGCGCCTAAGACAATCGGCGTGGCATAATTGCAAAGTTGACTGCTTATTTGTTTGTACAAAGTTGACTTTACAAAAGAGGAAATCTCCCAAGTTTTTTTTTTCTGGCTCAATATTCAAGTTGTTTTTCCAAAGGTGTATGTAATGTTCGTGGCGCATCCAAAATGAAAGTAAGGGAAGCCTGCGCCTTTTTGAAAGTTATCTTTTTCGGAGTTATTTCTAAGAATTACTGAATTCGAGTTTCTCGAGATTCTATCAAAAATCATGTTCCAGTGATATAATGTATTTTGAAAAGTGAAATAAAGGGGTCTTTCTGTTTCTTTATCTTATTTATTGATGCACCCCAAGGACGCGCTCCTAACACACGGGCTAGATAAGCAAAACACTCTTATCAGTTGATATAATGCTAAAATAATTAGACATAGTGAGGAAAGTTCCTTCCTGGGTTTTTTTTCCCGAAAATTTATCGCTGATTATCACTGAATGAAAGGAAAGTGGGAAACCTAGGTTAACTATCGAGTCATGAGTCAATTTCCGTTCGTTAAATTATGAGAGAATAACAAGGTATAAAATTCGTTTTATGGCGAAGCACGTGCTGTTTTCCCATGGAATGCAAAGAGGCAAAAATAGGAATATAAAGTTGAAGACTAGTTTTATTTATGAGAGAATAAACGGTGGTCATTTCGAAGTTTCACTTGATAAAATAAAATAAGTTCTGTGAAAAAAAAATAGGAAAAAGAAACATACGTAGTTGATGGTGGTAGTTCCTGAAGTGCGACAATGATGACATCTTCGAGAAGATTCTCGGAAATGTGCTCCAGGTGATCGGCCAAAAGGTCTAGGAGTTTTACGGGCTAAAAATATAGGGCTAAAATCCACGTAATCTGGTTATTCTCATCGAAAGATTGAGCAGAAGTTCAAAAAATAAGTTGAGTGTCGGGTTATTGAGGGGAGGGGTGTAGAAGATCGTTTATTTCCACAGTAGGGTTTGGGGTTGATATGCTGCTTCTTCCTGTGCTGGTTAGTATCAGTTAATGTTGATCGCTGGCGCCAGAAAAACCGACGGGGGGAAGCTCGTCGGGTTGCGTTTTAATTTGCAAACCGCGTGCTGCTGATTGTTTTGGGAACATCTGTTTCTTGTTTTGAATAGTTTAAAACCGACTGAAGTTCTTTGTGGTCGGGAATTCTTTTAAAAATGTTCCTATTGATGTATTTCCAGTGAAATAAGTGGAAAAATAACAGGTAATTGACCTTCAGGTAAAGTTCAAATAATGCGGTAATAGCCCTTTTTTACCTAATTCCTGCTGAGAATTCGACGCTGCTTTACCTGGAATGAGACGAAGTCCCGCAGGTGCGCAATTTTGCATTTCAAGGGATAATCGATTCAATTATTCATGAAATGTGCTGGGAAACATTCACATAACAATCAACGGCTGAAGCCCTTTGCTTGGGTTATAAAATGTATTCACCTGCTGCCCAGACTGGATTTCCTCCCTGGCTAACTGCCTCAACAATGAGCAGCTGAACTAATCCTTTCTCATTAGCGGTTTGTGCGGGACTTCCCGCGCCAGAGGTGGCTTCCCAGGGTAATAATTCGATTTTCTAGAGAAAGAAAAAAGAAATTCCAAAAATGTACCGACCTTCTCGTTAATGTTCCATGTAATAGAACGTATGCTTAGCTTTCGATCAGGTAGCTTAGCAATATTGTCTTCAGATGGGATTCGAACGTTCCCGAACCCGACCACGGTGCCCCTGGAAGCAGATTTAGCGGATTAGGCGGCGCCCAAAGCGGTGTGAAACTGAGCGATATGCTTACTCGGATGTGTCGTCGTTGAGTGCATACTTCCATATATGGTCGTCGATTTCTGAGTCTGAAATATGGGGGGTCAAAAGGCAAGGGTAGGTTTATCCCTGGCGCGTCAAAAGGGTGGTAGATCGAAATTCAAAGAGCACAACAAAACAAAAAGGTGGACCCACATCGTCGCCCTGTGCTCCATGGTGTTCTGCCTTGTGATTGAGAGCGTTTATTGGTGGCGGCCGTCGTCTCGGACGGCGTACGAGTAGTGATGGTTGTGTTGTTTGTTGGACGAGGATCGACTGGATAAGCGGCTGGCTGAGCCGTCGTTTCGGCCGACATCAGAACGACGACCGCGGCGGCGCAGTATGGCGGCGACTCACACAGCGTAGAGCAAGTATTGGCTGGATGCCAGTGCGATGTGGGCGGGTGTGTTGCTAGGACACGAACGAACGAACGAGCGCGAGCGGCGAGGACGACGACGACGAACGCTGGAAACAGCCACTTGAAACAATGAAATCGGATGAAAGCGCGCGCGCGTCACAACGCAATGAAGGGCAACCGACGGTGAAATATATGCGCAGCAGGGGGATCCTGTATCAATGGAAACTCGGGGGGTGTTGTGACACGAACGTTCACACAATCGATCGACTGTGCGATGAAGACCAGAATACCCCGATGGGTGGGGATCGGTCGGACTGTTACATCGACATCGATCTAAATCGTTGTACTTCTGAACCGGTTTCTGGAAGTTGCCCCCGTCGTTGAACATACAATGAACAAGATCTGTTCCCAATGGGACAAGGTCAAAGGTTAACCCGCCTGGCGGGTCACCCCACCACGAAAATTATCAGCAATAACTCCCTTATGGTTTTTTTTCGGGTGAAAATCCTATGAGATTTCACGGAAATGATGATGCAAATATGAAAAGGTTAACGACAGCTCAGAAAAGCGAGCTGTTTCGCTGACGTTATCGGCAAAGATTGGTTCGATTGATCGCCATTTTTACGGGGCAATTTTGAATCATCGCTGATTTTAATGGCTTTCTTTGTACACAAATCGATAACGCGACGTGATTCAATTAGTTCAGCTAAGGTCTTTCAAGTGTCGGTGATGTTTCGCCTTTTGTCAAAACTCGTCCTTCGTTTTGAATGAATCTGTGACGTCACATTCGGAATGTTTCGCTTGTTTTTTTCTCTGATTCGGCGTTTTGACGTATGAGCTATTTTTTTCCAGTCTCTCTGACGTTATCGATTTTTATAGTCGATTTTATTTGCTTTTTTTCTTTCTTTTATCTTTTTTTCCTCCACATTCTCTTAATTGATAAAAACAATCGATACTTCCACTCAGCATAGTTTGCTGTGTTTTTTAACGCTAAGGACATTTTTAGGTACTGAACACGTTATAAGGATGTGTAATCTGAAGAAAGGTCAAATAAAGCCGGACTCATAGTTCTTTACTTTAGGAGAATTAGATACTGTGTGTACGGTTCTGTGACTTTAGAGGATTACTGTAGTACCTAGAATTGTGAGCTCGAGAACGATTTTAGTACCTTAAAGGAGTTACTGTAGCACCTAGAATTGTAGGGTGAAGAATTCGAAGTTCTAGTAGCGGGCCACCTGCAGAAATGACACCAGGACATGCCGAAAAGCGGTAGATAAGATTAGCGGGAAGGGCGTCAGCATTGTTAGGAACAGGAATGGGGAGTGACTGGTTCAATCGATTAAATTAGTTGTACTTTATCTATTTACCTTTCTTTTGTGTTGAGTTTTG